ATAATAAATTTATAAATATAAATACAATTTTCATTTTATAAATAATAATTAAATTTTTATAATTACAATTATCTTGAAAAGGATTTCTAAGCTTTAGATAAGAAATGAGAGTCATAAAATTGTCAATAAAATTTATGCGAATTTGATAGAAAATTAATAGGAAACTTAGTTATATAAATATATTATATAGTATTAGAAACGGTAATAAATAATAATTCTGACGTATTGAAAAAATTATGTGGAAAAATTAACAAGAGCTTCTGGTTCCAAGACACTATGTATAATCTAAAAATTGCTGCCTGCTTCCCGGGTTGCGTCACAGATTCGAATTCTCTCAGGATACGATCGATGGATCCGGATTCGCCGTCATAGAATGACGCTAGTAACCTTAACGATTCCTTCGAGACTCGCTATATAGATGCTTTGCAATGCGTATCCTTGAGTCTCTCCAATCGCGATCCTAGAATGCCACACTCCAGATGACGTGCGGTAACGGGAGAGAGAGGTATGAATATAAGACTACCCCGTATTCTGTATCGGCTTGGTTGGGATAGGCTCTCTTGGAGGCTCTCGTGATCAGGAGAGCATGAGTGAGCAAGTAGTTCGCAGCTCTGTGATGCCATGATACGATCCAGAAACGTATCACTTCAAGCGGTTTTTGTAAGCATCGTGGACACAATTTAATTGTAAGGCTTCATACGTACGATTTCCTAAATGTCCATAAATTTGTAAAATATTTATATAAACAATATATGTTATAATATTTTTAAGATATAATTTAAAAGCCAATCAAATCTTGTAATAAAAACAGCTCCAAATAATTGATTCGACATTGAATTAATGGACAATATTCATAATCCGTTCTTATTTTAAAACCGTCTTAAATAATGTCTTAAGATGTTAATACGGATAGATTCTCTGATTGATTTGTAACATCTTAAAACTGTACTTAAAACAATCTTAAATACAATAAAAAAAACGACTATGAATACCGTCCATGTCAACGTCAGTTTTTTAATGATACAAATCAACTATGTCGATATTGCAGGAATATCAATTTTCTTATCAACTCAACCAGCTATCAACTATATTAAATCGACATTGAATAAACCTTGAATCAACATTACATTTCTGACTAGACTGGCTTCTGGCATCAACAAAGTTAATACCAAAATAGTTGAATCATTTTTCGGTCGGTAGAAAATTATTTTCGTTTTTGAACTAAAAATATCACTTAATTATATTATCGAAAGATTGCAAAATCATGTCGATTAACGAAGTCTATCTGCTCTAATAAGATTTTCTAAAATTTGATGTTCTTAATGTAGCACATATTGGAGTAATGAAATTTGTACTATTTGTAGTACGTTCAAATTATGCGTACAGTTAATGAAATTTTCAGACATAATAACTTTTAGCCGAATATGAGACCAATTTATTTTAACGAGATTTTCAAAATTTTATACTTTCCATATATAGCTCGTATTAGAGCAACAGAATTCACGATTCTGTTCAAATTATACATGCCTTGATGCACCATGCAATTCTGACCCTGTTTGAAAGCTGTAATGTAATTTATGTAATATAACTTACACTGATAACTAGATTTGTATATCAAATTTATATATTTACATAAAAGTGGCAATAATTACAAAACAAAATAAAAAATCACATAAATTAAATTTCAATAATTGAGTCAAAATGATGCAATGTTTATAGTATGAGATATTTTAGCTGTTAGTAGGTTAAAGAGTTATCTATAATTTAAAAGTCACGGAGCTATTATGATTGCCACGGAATATCATTTACGTAAAAATACGTGTAAAAGACTAATAAGAGAATCTTTTGAAAATATCAACCATCTAATCAGATCGCTACAAGTTTGAGCAAGATTGGAACATGTATTTAATATTCATTTGACATAAATGCAAAGTTGTATCAATTACAAGTACTTGAGATGAGAGCAATTTAGATATTCATGAAAGTGTGTATTCATTATTGTTGGTACTCACATAAAAATTTATACAATAAAGCATAATTCATTGTACCATTAAGTTAAAATGCTAAAAATTTAAATTAAAAATTTTCCCGTTTTCTTGTTTATATTTTTTTTAACACTATGTAACTTTTTAAGAGTTAAAATTTTTACAATTTTTGACTTGCGCTGTTTGTAGAGTATCAATAGTTAAAACATTTTTTGATGTCGGTAATTACATAATAATGACAATGATTATCAATACTCGATAAAATTATTAGCAAGCTTACCAATCGTCGATAATTGTTGAAAAAATGTTTATTTTAATTGTAAATTTTCTCAACAATTGACAAAGTATCATAAAAATTGATATTAATTAAAAGTTTAAATGTCATGTGTGTGATTGCAAAATATTTTTAATTTTACAATCATAAATTTTTAATTTACTTTTACATAATTTTTGAGAATTCAAATCGCATAAGTTCGAAGTAAAAAACCGATAAAGAATAAAAAAATTATGTATCAAAGCCGCAAATTTGTCTACTAATGCAATTAAATTATACAGTCTAAAATGGTCTGTATCTTTCAAAATCACACACCAAAAAAGCAAGACTCGCGATAATCTCTTATAGGAAAGAGAGAGATAAAGAAAAATATCAATGTTATTTGAAAATTTATGGGATGTGAAACAAAATTCTCTCGATAAAATACCAATCGAATCGGTATTCCAGGGATATCATGATAAAATATTATGCGATGTCCCATTTCGCTTTGTAATTGCAGTATGCATGGAAAAAGCAATTATACGAACAATGATTTCCGATATTTTTCGAACAAAATGTCCAATGGAATTTCAAATAAAATTTCCAATAAATTTCATTACATGTGCGGTTTCAACGATCTGACTTTATTATCTATGTCACCCGATTATTTGAGAAAAAATTTATGTAATTTGTTTTACAATTACACACACGTAAAGCGTATTTGCAAAACAATATAATTAAGAAGATATACACCACGAATGATGTGGATAGCTTAAATATTTGTATTTGAAATATTATAATAAAACAGACGTTTCGATCTTAAATTAGACCTTCCTCAGTATTACAAAAATTGTCGAAAATAAATTATTACGCATATAAGTAAATTTAAAATGTTACGAATATAAATTCTATACGTTGTCAGTGGAAGATTTTATAACGCTCAGTAATAGATTTGATTTTGATAGAAGCAACGGTGTTCCATACAATTCAGATTGTCTACTGGATCCTGATAAGTGAACCAAAGTCAATAGGTGCACACTTTGCTCAACATCAATACAACGCACAAGTTCAAATTTCTATTAAACATTACGTGTCAATTTTCTTAAATTAATAATATTGACAGTGTACAACAAAAATGTTTTATATGAAAATACATTTGGAATACCAAGATTAATTAAATTTAAAAAAATCTGAATAAATAGTTTAAAATTAACATTATGTGTAAAATTTTTTTCTTAAATTAATATTAACATTATGTTTAAAATTAATATTGTGTAAATTTTCTTAAATTAATAATATTAACAGTGTACCACAAGAATACTTTATATCATAATACAACATTTGGAATACTAAGTTTAATTTAATTAAATAACATCTGTGAGAATAAATAGTTTTAAATTAACAACGTCAAGAGAATAAAAAGATGAAGAGATCAATATACAAAACTTTGTTTAACCAACCTGCGTTGAACGATAAAATACACAGCAATCCAGGACCCAGAGTCAATGTGATTGTGCTCAGCGTCAAAAATGTTACATATATCCTTTATATTCGTAACATTTTAAATTTACTTTTATGCGTAATAATTTATTTTCGACAATTTTTGTAATACTGAGGAAGGTCTAATTTAAGACCGAAACGTCTGTTTTATTGTAATACTTCAAATACAAATATTTAAGCCATCCACATCTGGCGTTCGTGGTGTATGCGCGCCTTCTTAATTATATTGTTTTACATTCTTATCACGGTATAATCTATTTTGCGTATTTGCAAATATCAAGAAATACAGTAATATCTCATACTAAATGGATAAGTATGTCACGACACTTTTAATGTTAAAAACGCTACTCGTTTATACGACCTTCAATAGCCGTGATCGTCTAGTGGTTAGGACCCTACGTTGTGGCCGTAGTAACCCAGGTTCGAATCCTGGTCACGGCAATGCGTGAAAGCATTGTCACGGTGGAGGTTTTTTTTTCTTTATTTTATATTAAATATTAATTAAAAAATAATTTAGAAGCACCGTCACAATAAAATTTTTTTCCTTCGTCTTTTTAAATAAATTATTAATGACACAAAATTATACGAATTCAATATCATTAGATTTACTGAAAAATATTCTGTAATTAATTATGTAAACTTTCTAAGTCGTGATTATCAATTTGCATAAAAATTCTATGGATTATCTTTTGTTTATATATTGTATAGTTCTATTCCTTGTAATTTACATTAAATATTAAAACATAATTTAAAAGTATCGTCATAATAAAATGTTTTTTTTCGTCTTTTTAAATAAATTATTACATATTAAACTATGTAAAATTGTGTGAAATTATTGTTTGTGAAAAAATTGCTCTAGAAACATTTTGTAATTACTTATATATTTTTTTTTCTAAGTCATAATTATTATAATTTGTATAAAATTCTACGAATTGTATGTATATTGTATAGTTTTATTCTTCATACGAATGATATTTATAAAACCACAATGAAAACTTTGATGTGCAGCAAAATCGAATGCATTATTGCAATCGTTCTCCGAATACCTTTGCCGAAAATACTAACAGATTGTGACATTTGATACAGTCGTTGGCGTGACGTTATGCAACTGAATACACCCGATAAATTAAAATGCGAAATTGCATTATTACAGATGTCAGAAAAGCAATTTGAGGAATGATCACCACACACTCGTGTATTGTGCAAACGTAAACTATTATAAATCAAAGTACAATTGCTATTATAACAGTGTGGTGCGGAATCGCGTACGACTTGTATCCGACTTAAAATTTTTAATTGGACGTTATTCATCGGTCAATATGATCATTCAACATCGATTTTTGTTACTTATTCATATTTTATGCTGTGCTGGTTCGTATAAAAACTTCTTCAATAAATATTATTCAATTACATTTTAATAATAATTAATTTTAACATGAATATACTGACAATTCTTTGGATAATGCAAAAAATTGGTAACATGAGCAAAACATAGATTGTTTTACATAAAATTAATTATTTAGATAGATAAACGTAAAATTTTCATTTTATTATTTTACATGCAGTCCAAAAGAACTTTTTCGGATCAAAGATCTCCTCAGAATGAAAGAAAAAACGTATTATTGGAAGTAATTTCAAATTTGCAGTGTATAATTTAAATTCTCTCTCTTACGTATTCTAATAGATTTGCGAACACATCAGTCGTTATTGATAATTTATGTATCACTTAGTAATCAATAAAAATAAACATTCATGATAATCAGAAACACGTGCTTGCAGCAATTCATGGCATTTTATTAGACGCAAACGATGCCGAAACTTGCAATTTACTATGCATAAAATGTAACGCTTCCGCAGTATTTGCAAACGATCACTGTGAATGCAATTTTATTGACGACAGTAACAAAGGTATAATCATACATTTACAAATTTATCTTCTGTGTGTAAATAAATTGTTAAAACAGTTGTCTAAAAAGTAATATCGTATCGTATTGTCTAAAAAGTAATTTCACGTTTTAACTCAACAATGCAGGTGCAGAATGCATACAGCATATACAAAAAGAAATTCAAGCTGTCGAACTGAATATGCTTTCTGATGATCTGACAGACGAGGAGCGAAAAATACGTTCTGTTTTAAAATACAGGCGTCGTCTCAGACCAGGTAAAGTAAAATTATATATTTATATAAAATATAAAACATTTTAACTTTCTACAGACTTAAATGTTTCAAAAATACCTTCAAATAGACATTTCTTCAAAAAAAGTGCCTCATTTCGTATTTCTCCTTCAAAACTCCATTGTCATGGAACATTCAAAAACTTTTCCTGCAAAAATAGTTTCACACAGTTTTACAGTTAATTATTGGCATAAAGGTAATTTTATTCATAAAGGACTGATTAATATCCAAATCCGAGGATTCTGAAATTCCAAAGGACATTTTTTAAATACCTAAGAAACGCTGTGTGAACTAAGGTATCTTTTAGGCGTCTAACGTCGAGGTACCTAAAATAAAGACTGTCGAATTGCCTTATAGGAGATGCCGAGAAAGTGGCACAGTATTTTATCAATGGAGGACCAGAAGCTGGTCACTCTCATTTTGTCAGGGTGTTCAATGCGACTCGCGATAGCGCCGATTCTGCGACAAATTCGTTTTCGGGTGTAGTTGACAAAAAAAGTAATTTTTAAGATTTCACGGTGTATCGTTAATCTGTCCCGTTTCTTGGAATACATACGATTCTCTGTTATATATGGTATCAGAATACGCATCGTACGTGAGTCCGACTATTCAGGGAGTAGATATTTCGGCCTTAAGGACGATGAAACAACCCTTTGTCTATCCACCAACCGGAGTGTACGATCCAACAATGATTCCGTTGAGCACAATTTCTCATCCACATGGACTACCTCACACTTTATTAAGAGCGGTCACATTTCCTGCACACGTTTTGCACCGTATACTGCACCCTCGTCTGTACCATCATTATCCTCTGTACCATCGCGGTGTCATCAGAAGTACTAATGTAAGTAGCGTTTAATTACATAATTTGTAGTCAGTATAATGAAAAGCATGATAATGATTATGTTTTATTTAATTTGAATAAACGTTTCATACAAACGTCCACATGTCTCATCTTTCAGATAAATTTAAAAAATTAGAATTGTAGAAGTCTAAAAAATTAATTCGATTCTCTTAATAGATATATACATATATGACAGCAAAATTAAAACAAAAAATATATCAATGCTACAATTAAATTTTTTTCTATTAGTTCCCACAGGATAAATCAGATACAGATCAGACTGTTGGTCAATGTGAAAATAATGATGATTCCAATACTTCTAACCTTCCTAATGCCAGAAGTAATGCAGTAAGTTTCGTAATAATAATATGATATTTAATTCGTAAATTTTATTTAATAGCAAATTCTTACATAAATTTGTAACTTTTTTTTTAGTAAGTAATGAAGTAATGAGAAATTGTGTCATTAAAGTTAAGAAAAAATTGCGATATTCTCTATATTAATAAACAAGAGTTATGATGCAAGTTATGACATTCTATACAGTGATACAAACAATTGTTTGATTGCTGAAATCGTTAAATGCAATTATATAGCTAACTATGTATAATTATAATTATAATGCTAAAAATAAGCATTAAATTGACTTTTGTAATAAAAAAAAATTATAAATCAAAATCTATTTCTTCCAGGATAAACCTGCTGAACAAAATGTTCTTGGATTGAATGATCCGTTGCAGTATCCAGGAGCATACATTGCAGACGCATTATACCAACCAATGCAATATCAGAATTACCCATACAATTCTTATTATAATCCTTGGATAAACATGGTCCATTCCATACCTAATGGATATCTTCTTCAACCTATGTCGCTTCCTATGTCGCTATATCCACAAGATAAATTATCGGATCCATGGACTTCTGCGTCCAATCCACAATCTTTTTGCAAAAATAATGTAAATACTGAACAGAAAAATGAAGTTTTATCTACTGATAAAACTAAATATTTGAATGGAATAGAAAAATCTAACAATACAACTAAAAACAACATTCCTAACGAAGAAAAGAAAACAGTGAAAAATGGAAACGATAAATCATAAGTAGGATAAATTAAATGCATTGTATATATCTAATCTATAACAAAATATAAATTTAAATTTCTTATTATTGTCATATTTGTACTACAGTAAACAAATAGTAATGTAATTATTAAATTTTCTCCTTAATAAAAGAAATTTTTAATATTAATTTATTCATTAACTTATTTCAATCATTCTATTCTAAACCAACTGATTACATATATCTAGTATATGTAATATGGCCCCATATCTTATGCTTTTAATTTCAACTCAAATTTAAAAGTTCTAATAATAGAACTCAGTGAAAGACTATCTTTATTCATATTTTGAACTAGAGATATAAAAAATAAAAAGTATTATAGTAATCTAAACAATAACTATATAAACATCATTTAGGTTGATTCTGCAACTCTCATCGCACATATATCCATCAATTTTGAAAAAGTATAATCAGAAAATTTTTTGGAGATTATGAATAAAGTTCACAAAGTAATTGTTTGTGAAAACCATTTCAAAAATCCATCCTTCATTTACAGCATTATTTCAATTTTTGTCTTATATATGATGTGATAAAGCATAGAATCTAAGAATGAGCATATATATTCAAACGTTATATATAATATAAAATATATAAATATAAATAAAAATTCACTCTTAACAGTTCCATCTCCTCTTCTTTATCTCCTTCCTTTGCCTTTCCCTTTCTTTGAAGTCGACGTAGATGGCTGTGATGCTTGCTCGCTAGAGCTCTGCTTACCCTGACGAGTCTTCAATTTTGAAATTGAGGTACCAACATACTCCAGCAGGGAATCTCTGGTGGGAAATTCGGATTTTATCGGTGTGCCATCGTCGTTTTTTAGCTGCACGCGAATACGACCCCGGAACAGAGGTTCCTTGCTACGTTCTTTCGGATGCAGCTTATTCTCAACGCCTACATTGAGACCCGCTGCCAACAAGACATCCCGTATTTCCTGATGCGTTGGATTTTCTACACACTTATCCTTGGCCAGCTTTCGCCCATCTGCCAAGCTTCTCTTGTTGTTTAAATATATTGGATAGATACATATCCATCTATAAAAAAAACAACTTGTCAAATAATGGCGAACTTAAACTTGCTATTGTAAAGATTTGAATAAAATATGTTAAATATTATATATGCTTTAAAAATAAAGTACTTATTTTAAGTACTTTTTCCAAGATAAAACTTGTGGATTCTTTGACCTATACGTTTAACCTATAAATTTAACTTTGACGTCAGATATCACAGATTTATTCGAATTTGTTTTGGAGTACTCAACGAATAAAAGGAATTGAAGTGCCTTCAGTCTAGACGTATGTATTCGGTATTCAATAAACTTTTATAGGTTAGATAATACATAGATTGTAATTGATTGTAACGCATTTTTACCGAGCTCAAGAAACACTATTTTAATTAATATTTGATGGGAATACATTAATGTGAAAGCTATTTCTCTATTATTAATTTACAGTTATCACTTTACCTCTCATGTTCACTGTTTTTCTTCGAAGGATTCCAGACAAGCGACATGTTGTTGCTACCATACGGCTTCCAGTTGTACCATATTACACTCTCTTTTCAAATTTTCAGATTTATCTTCACTAAGTATGGCTTGAAATACAAACAATTTGTAATTTTTCTATACAAAATAAATAAAGTACAGCGTTTAGATGATTATCACTCGATAAAACAAAATTAAAAGTTCTAAAAAAAAACCAAGAAATATAAACTACAGACAATTAACTTAAGCACTTAAAGTGCAGCTAAACAAAGGTGAAATGGATAAAATATTTATAATTTATACAATAGTTTTGTATACATGTATCGCAAAAATATCATCAGCGTTTAAATGAAAAAGTAAGATGTATCGTTAACGAAGCAAAAAATATAAACCACGGGCTCGTCCGGGATTTGAACCCGGGACCTCTCGCACCCGAAGCGAGAATCATCCCCCTAGACCAACGAGCCATATGATCGTTACGTTCACAAAGTGTCCTGAACAGGCTCCACTTATCTATATAATATAAATAATTCATCATTTTGTATATATTGACAACACTTCACCAAGCTGTAGATAATTAATAATATTTCATCAGTATATTACATACGAACGTGAAAAAAGTAGGGG